AATATACTTCGGCAAACCGTTTACCAAACTGAAGAATTTGACGTACCTGTATGTATATTGTCCGCATGACGTGATCAAAGGGTCGAATCGCAGTTTTGAAGGTCTCAGAGATGTGGCTCTCAAAGAACTAGTGTTAGAGAGCTCAGGCAACGAAGCACATTTTGAAACTGGAATTTTTGCCAATGTTCAAAATCTAGATATTCTACGAATCTATTCTGTCGCTATCGGAAACCAAAATATCATGAACTGTCTATGGCCTTTTGAAAATAAAACAATGCTTTTAATTGACCTACACAGAGTGAACTTGCACTACTTTCAAGCCACTCCAAAAGGAACCTGTGCTGACGGAATCATGACAAAAGAATCGTTTAAACATCTCTCCAACATATGTCTTTCCCAGCTGATTTGGGATGAATCCAAAGTGGTTGGTATAGAGACCACGGCACTAACCGTAAAATCAAATCTTAAAAGATGTCTGAAGAAAATTCGATTTACCAGGAATTTAATGAGACTAATGGATGAGTATCAAAGTTTGTATCTCGAGCTGCTAGAATTCGAATCGTTAGAGGAGATGCAATATGCTAGTTACGAATGGTGCGGCCCGGAATACGATTTCAAGTTCAGGAGTGTTCAGAGCGTGAAAAAATATGTAAAAAAAACAATTTCTGGTTTCGACCTTAAATCTACATCTTCGGCCCAAATTTACGCGCGTCCATATTACAGTAACCGGAATAAAGGAAATTTAAGAGAAATACTTACTATCTCCAGTGTGAACAGCTCATTGCCTGAAGCGCCAAGTATAAGAATTCCTAGAGAGAGTGAGTGGGCGACACTCGTAGGAAGTGCTTCTTTCCGATTCCCTAAACATCTTCAGTCTTGGATTGCTGTTGGTTTCAGAGGTCTTTTGAAGGTTCCAGCTTGCCACATAATAGACGCTCACAATGTAAAAGAAATTCGCTATATCAGCAGTCACTTAATTGAATTTAACGGACTTGTGACAGGATTGGAAAATGTTACCTTGCTGGAGCTCACACGATCTTACATAATTGTCAGTCCAAACATTGCACCTCTTCAAATATTCCCGAATTTGGAAACTCTTCTACTAAATGCCATGCCGGTGAGCGCCTTTATTGATCAACTTTTGACAGAGAGTTGGCTGCAGAAAACGCCAAAACTCCAACGCATCGACCTAGGTGACAACCATCTCAACAAATTACCAAGATCTGTTTTTTCTTCCAGCTTGAGATTGAATTCAATACTTTTGTCGAGCAATCAGTTGACATCGTTAGGATTTGACCTTTCAACTACACCAAGCCTGAGCGTCTTGGACCTGCGCAAAAACGCAATCTCTTCCTTAGACATCGCCTCCAGGACAGCGCTAGACACACACGCTCAAAGCAAACCCGACTTTTCTCTCCTGCTGGAAGGCAATCCGATATATTGTATGTGCTCACGGATTCCATTTCTTGGTGAGTAGAGAGCTGCCTTCTTCATTATATTAGCCTGACATCCTGGTGGGGTACCAATAATTCAACAACAACTATTCGTCGACCTGATTATTGACAACATCGATCACCGTCAACCTAAAACATCAGTATGGCTTAACTGTCTATCTAATTCGTGTCGATTTTTAAATTTATTTTTGTTTTGGAGGTTAGGGGGGGGGGGGCGGGAAGATGGGGTGGAACAGTAGCAACCAATCACAGTTGATCAATCTTTTTTTTTTTTGTACGTGTGTCGACATGCCCTTTTCTCTCAGTCTGGCTCCACCCGTCTAAATTGTGTTAATGGGGGTGTTTAAAAACATCTACATTAAATCTGCTGTAATCGTAGATTGATCTAATCTATTTTTATAGATCTATGTTTGTCGACCTGTCCTTTTCTCTCTCTCTCTCTCTCTCTCTCTCTCTCTCTCTCTCTCTCTCTCTCTCTCTCTCTCTCTTTCTCTCTCTTTCTCACTCTCTCTCTTTCTCTCTCTCTCTCTTTCTTTCTCTCTCTCTCTCTCTCTCTCTCTCTCTCTCTCTCTCTCTCTCTTTCTCTCTCTCTCTCTTTCAGTCTGGCTGCACACGACATTGATGAGACTGAACATGAAAAAACTCCTTCATTTAATCAGTTTCCAACCGTTGATCGATCTCTTTTAATTCGTTTGTCCACCAGTCCTTGTCTGGCATGCCTCTCGCTCAGTCTGTCTGCACACATCTATATTGTGTCGATGAAGACGTAAAAACACCTACATTCAATCTATTTTTAATCGTTGATAGATCTATTTTTGTATGTTTATCGATCTGCCCTTGTCTCGCTTCTTTCTCCCTCAGTCTGGCTCCACACGACGTGGGTGAGTCTGGACATGTCCGGGAACTACTCGTGCATCGACGACAGAGGGCAGGACCGGTGGACCGCTGACCTAGTCACGACCAAGGCGTTGTGGCGTCGCTGTGTCGGGAAAACGGCTCTCCTCGTCTCTCTCAGCCTGGCCTTAAGCCTTATCGTGGGTTTTCTGGTCGTCTACGTGTGGCGGCGGTTCAGGACTGCGGTGTGGGCGTTCTTTCTCAACATCCTGGCTCCTGGTTTCAGGTGATAAGATAAGCTAAGATAAGATGAGATAGGATAAGGTAAGACAAGATAAGACAAGACACGATACGACACGACACGACACGACAAGACAAGACAAGGTAAGATAAGACAAGACAAGACAAGGTAAGATAAGACAAGACAAGACAAGATAATAAGAGAAAGACCGAGATACACGATAAAAATTTCTCCCCCACCGGGAATCTAACTGATCCCCTAAGTGAGACGGTGAAGCGAAAACCGTAAGACCATAGACAATTGATGGTTGGCCGGTGCTCTGGTGTGCTTTGCTCCTTCTCTCTTGTCAAATATATATCGTCTTTATCCCTCATCCTTTTCTGTGTTTGTTACTCGCTTGTAACGATTCTAATCTTCGGCATAATAGTATGACCTAATTGTGTTGCAGAAGCCGTAAAACGTTCACAAAAAAACCACCACCGATGACAGTTTTTTCTAAAAAGAATTTATTATCAGAATGTTATGTTTACCTATATGTCCTTTTTTAAAAACTTTAATCTAAGCAACAATTATTGTACCCTGGTTGGTACGGTTGGTTCCTCAGTCTGTAAACAACAACATAGCCAGTGGAGCAACCAGAAGTAGCAAGTAATAGCTGTGTCTTCCTCCTCCCACCCACCCTTTTTCCCTTTCTTAACTCTCTCCTCCTTCCCCCTCCTTCTCCCCTTCCTCCTCCTTCTCTCCTTCCTCCTCCTTCTCCTTCCTCCTCCTTCTCCCCTTCCTCCCCCTTCTCCTCCTCCTTCTCCCCTTCCTCCTCCTTCTTCTCATTCTCCCCTTCTCCCCTTCCTCCTCCTTCTCCCCTTCCTCCTTCTGCCTTTCCTCCTCCGTCTCCCCTTCCTCCTACTTCTCCCCCCCCCCTTTCCCCATTCTTAACTCTCTTTTCCCTCCCCCTTCCTCCTCCTTCTCACCTTCCTCCCCCTTCTCCTCCTCCTTCTCCCCTTACTCCTCCCCCTCCCTTTTCCCCTTTCTTAACTCTCTCCTCCCTCCCCCCTCCTCCTCCTTCTCCCCTTCTTCCTCCTTCTCCTCCTCCTCCCCCAAATATTGCTGAAGGTGTGTAACGTACACTGAGAACCTTTGTGCAAGAGTGGGCATGAGAAGAGGAAGAGGAGGGGGAGGAGGGGGAAGAGGGTGTGGGGGTAGTGGTGGTAGTGGGAGTGGTGATAAAAGAGGAGAATGGAAAAAAGAGGAAGAGGAGGATGCAAAGAAGGAAAAGGGGGAGGAAGGTTAGAAGAAAGAAAACTAGAGAAGGCAGAGGAGGAACAGTGACGAAAACAACACATACATTTCCACTAGAGAGGTAATGTTTCTAAACTACCACACCCCCCCGCCACCTAATAGACTCATCATAAACCTTCAGGAAAAAATTTGACACGTACGTGCAGTAATAACCAGTTATCTCTCTGTATGTGTCTTCCAGGAAGACAAAAATGGAGGATTACGGTATTCATGTGTTTGTTGGATATGCCGATGATGACTTCCGCTTCGTTCGCTTCGTCCTTCGCAGGTTTGTTTTTTTATCTTCTTCTGAAGTTTATAGTGAGATGTTTAAAGGGGATTATTTTGTGGATATATACCAAGAAATAAAGATAGTGATAGATAGATAGATAGATAGATAGATAGATAGATAGATAGATAGATAGATAGATAACTTTGACAACTATGTCCAGTTATTCTGCAAGAAAACACAACGAAGCCTCTTTATTCTGTATGCCAACTTTGACAAAGTCCTATTATCATTCTGATTGAGAACTTTGACAAAAAGTCCTCTAACTCTGTATGAACACTTTGACAAGAAAGTCCTATAACTCTGTATGACAACTTTGACGACAAAGTCCTATAATTCTATATGAAAACTTGATCAACAAAATCCTATAACTCTGTATGACAACTTGTCCACACAGGTACCTGGAGGAAGATCTGAACCTGACCACTTACATCCACCAGCGTGACCTGGGCGCGGGCTACCTTGACCAACAGCTGCTGGACGCTATCCAGGACAGCTGGAGACTGGTGTTGGTCTTGTCCGCCAACTTTCTCCGGAGATACGAGAAGGCGCACCTCGTCATGAAGGTTGCTTTTGCCAGTTTGTTTGCGCGGCTTTTTGATAATTGTTTGTTTGCTTGTGTTGTATGTTTGTCTATCTGATTGTTTGTTTGTTTGTTATAATAAATTGAAAGCCATCGACACAATCGGTCATTCAGTCAGGAAATAAACATGATAGACAGACAGAAACAATAGAGGAAAAAGGTTGGTCCTACCTGTGGTGTTCTCCAACCACCAACTCATGAAGGTCAGATGTCACTCAAACTGTACAACAGACAACACAAAAAGTAAAACTTGCCGGATCCCGTAGTGAAGGGCACGAGGATCCTGCATGGACAGTCCAAGTCACTGCTTTGTTACAACGTTAGGTCTGTCTATACTTACCTTCCCCAACGTTCCTTCTTGTGCAAATTTTCAGATGTAAATATCTCCACATGTCTTCTTTTGCAAACTTTCAGATGTGAACATCACCCCTACATATCTCATTGTGCAAACTTTCATATGTGAACATCTCATATCACATATCTCATTGTGCAAACTTTCAGATGTGCACGTCTGCCGTGACCCCGATGAACCCTGACCGCGTGCTGGTGTTGGTGGAGCAAGGTCAAGGCCGCCATGTCCCCGACTACGTGCTGGCGGTGTTGGACGAGGAGAAGCTGGTCAGACTGCACAGCCTTAACGAGGAGCTAGGATACGAGCAGAAACAACGCATCAAACATCTCATTTTGTCGTAAACCGTACAGCGCATCAAACTTCTCATCTTGCCGTGAACGACATAGCACATTGAAATATCATCTTGCCGTGAACGACATAGCGCATTAAAAGATCATGTTGTCATAAATGATGGAGGGCATTGAATTTTATCTCAGATACAGCCCATTAAACATCACATGAAGCCCTAAACGCTATTACTTCACTTCGTGTTGGGGTTTTTTTGGGTTTATTTTTTTGAGTAAAGAGAAGCAATAATGGTTATTTATTGCTGGGAAAAAGTAGACACACGTACAGAAACAACAGAGGGAATGTAAAGAAGTAGGATCTGCCAGTTGCGCCTTCCAACCACCCTCATTATTTCACCTCAAACATCTTATCTTGTAATAAACGACACTATATCGCACCAAATATAATATTGCATCTTGTCGTGAGCGATACAGAATATCAAACGTCTCTTTTTGTCATGAACGATATGTATTCGCATCAAATATCGTATCTTGTTCAGAACAATATTATGTCTCATCAAATGTCTTATCTTGCCCAGAACAATGTAAATACTATCTTCTTTCTCATTAAACATCTTATCTTGTCCTGAACGATACTATATCGCATCAAATATAATATTATCTTGTCTTGAGAAATACAGTACATCAAACGTCTCATCTCAGATACACCGCATCAAACATTTCATCCTGCAAACATGGTTCCAGTACATCACGCACAATAGCTCGTCCGTCAATGTCTGACGATGACCAATACATTCACAGTGGAGAATATTTCTCCTCCCAAGCAAAAACATGTGAAGAATTAAAGATTAAAATAAATTATGGCTTCTGCCGTGGCCGATGAGACCAATTCTGACACTTGTGGATATGTGCAGCTTGTGGGCTTCTCTCTTGGCTTCAGCATTTTTTTCGTGATACCTCATGTGATACTGATATCTGCTGCCCACTGTGGCTGATGCTATTCATCTGGGTCTGTCAGGACCTAGGCTTTCCCTGGTCGAAGTATATTAATTTCATGCTGAAGTCCTTCAGAGATTTTCAGGGTTTCCTCGTAACGCTTTTTTGTGTGCCAACCTTACGCTTCCCCGAGGACAGTTAGGAACAGAATACTGCCTTTGGGATTCTGAAATCAGGCATTTTTATAACATGGCCAGCCCAGCGAAGTTAAGTTCTTTTGTGTTTAGAAAGCAGACTATCGGCATTTGCCCGTTTTAGAACTTCGATGTGTGATATTTTATCCTGCCATTTGAAGCAAAGAATTCTCGTTAGGCATTCCATATGGAAATTTTAAATGATTAAGCTTCTTGGCATGGCTTTGGCATACCTTCCAGTTCTGGGCACCATTCAGAAGCGTCGGGATATGATATTTGTATGTGTATTTTAATTGTGTGTTTGTTTGTTTAGTATAGGGTTTTACGGCGCTCGCAACTGCATAAGGTCATATGAGCGTGCGGGACACACCTAATACTTTTTTTTTCTTTTTTCT